TGATATACCTGCTTACGGCGTTGATAAACTCGCTCCCTACAAGTTTGTTAAAAATGCCGATAAACTCACTTACAAAGAACACGACCAACGGTTTTTTGATATTCGCGTGGTGTCTGAAGACGAGCTTACGCGCCGCTTTAAGCAAGCGCACAATGCACTATGGGCTGGCGGCCAGCTTAACCCGTCTGAAGCTTTTGATGAACTAGATAAACTCATTTTTTGCAAAATTTGGGATGAGCGCAAAGCGCGTAATAATGGCGAACCTTACGATTTTCAAATTATTCAAGAAGATGCCAGCAAGCCAGAAGCCGCGCTAATTAAAACCAATGAAGCCCTGTTTAAGCGTGTGAACGCGCTATATGAAGAGGGGCGTAAAAAAGACCCAGAAGTATTCCGCGATAACATTCGCTTAACCACGGAGCGCGTGCGAACCATTGTAGAATACCTGCAAGACATCAATTTAAGCAAAACAGATTTAGATAGCAAAGGCCGTGCGTTTGAAACCTTTATGGGTTCGTTTTTTAGGGGTGAGTTTGGGCAATATTTTACTCCACGCCCTATAGTTGAGTTTATTACTAACGTATTGCCAATTAAATATGATTCACTAGTGCTAGATACCTCATGTGGAAGTGGTGGTTTTTTGCTTCACGCACTTGAAAAAGTACGTAAACAAGCTAATAAACTCTATCCAGACTTCGAGACAGACCCCGATGAACGCGAGGCGTGGAAAAAATATTGGCACGACTTTGCCGAGAAAAATCTTTACGGCATTGAAATTAACGAGCAAATCAGCCGCACCGCAAAAATGAATATGATTATTCATGATGACGGTCACACCAATGTGATAACAGCAGACGGCCTGCTTAAAGCTGATAAATTACAAGAGCAAAACCAAGGCTTTAAATACGGGCGTTTTGATTTTATTATCACCAACCCACCATTTGGCAGCGCGGTAAAACTCACAGAAAAAGCTTACCTAAAAGCCTATGGCTTAGGCATGAAAGACGCAAACTGGCTAGACCTTAAAAATAGCGAAGCTAAAGAGCGCGATTCGCAAAGCACCGAAGTGTTATTTATTGAACAATGCCACCAATTTTTAACTGAAAATGGTTATTTAGCGATTGTGTTGCCAGATGGCGTGTTGACCAACAGCAGCCTGCAATATGTGCGCGACCAAATTGAAAGCTGGTATCGTATTATTGCCGTAGTGAGCTTGCCGCAAACCGCCTTTACCGCCACAGGCGCAGGCGTAAAAAGCAGTGTGCTGTTTTTACGTAAATACAGCGAGCAACAAACTGAGCTGATTAAACAACAAAAACTCAGCCTGCAAAATAACATACTCAATGAATACAGCTACAAAACAACCGTAGAAAAGTTAGAAAGCGAAAAACTAGCTACCATTAAAAATGCCACTGGCACGGTTTACACTGGCACGCTGGCAGCATACAAGACCACAGAAGACTATAAAACTTGGAAAGCGGAAGTTTCAGGTGAATACACCGAAAAAATCAACGCACTAAAAGAGCAACTTGAAGAAGCCTACGCCCTAGCCAAACAAACCAAACTGCCCGATTACCCCATTTTTATGGCGATTGCCGAAGATATAGGCTACGACGCCACAGGCAAGCAAACAGGCACGAATGAGCTAGATGTAATAGGCGCAGAACTCGCCCGTTTTATTGCAGGGGTGAATAATGGCGGGGTTTGAATTAAGTGCAGGTGTGAATGCGAATAAAGTATTTTTGGCTAATCATTCTGAATTAGCCGAACGATTTGACCCAGAGATGGTTTCGTATAACAAAAAAGTTAAGCAATTCACATACGCTACCAAACCACTTAAATCTTTGTTGCTTACATCTCCTCAATATGGTGCAAATGAAAGCGGCATAACACGCAACAGTGCGCAATCTCCTCGCTATGTGAGGATTACTGACATAAATGAATATGGTAATTTAATTGATGGTTTAGGCGTCACTGCTGAAACCGTAGAGAAAAAATACATATTAAACAACAACGACTTATTGTTTGCCCGCAGTGGAAACACTGTAGGAAAAACCTATTTACATAAGTCCGATGCTGTTTCATACAGCTGTTTTTTCGCAGGCTACATGATTAGATTTGTCGTTGACTCAAAAAAAATACTATCCGATTTTTTGTTTCTATATACGCAGCTAGCCCCTTATAAAGACTGGGTAAAAGCCGTGCAAAGAACGGCGGGGCAACCTAATATCAATGCTGAAGAATATAAATCATTGTTAATACCTTTGCCTGATTTAGCTGCTCAAGAAAAATTTGTTGATAAATATCAGCAAGCCGAACAGGCAAAACAACAAAAAGAACAACAAGCGCAGGTGTTGCTGGATAGTATTGATGGCTATTTATTAAACGCGCTAGGCATCACCCTGCCACAACAAGATAACCGCCTTGAAAAGCGCATGTTTACCGTGCCGTTTAGTGAAGTGACAGGCGGGCGGTTAGATTCACAGTTTTACAAAATTGAGTTTCAGCAGCTTGTTGATAACATTGAATCAAAGAAGCACTTTAAGTTAAAAGAGATTGCTGAATTTTCTGCTGAAACTTGGAATCAATCTGATTATTTTGATAACACTTTCCCTTACATAGAAATTAGCGAAATTGAGCTGAGTACAGGTGAAATTGCCAATGTGAAGCAGGTTGCTATTGATGAAGCACCTAGTAGAGCGAAAATGATAGTTAGACAAGGCGATATTATTATTTCCACTACAAGACCGACAAGGGGCGCAATTGCACACAATCAATTAGAAGGTATTAACATTGCCTCTACAGGCTTTGCTGTTATTCGCAGATTAAAAAATGATGAGATTAGCAAAGAGTTTTTGTTTTATTTATTAAAAATGTCACCTACATTAAGACAGATGGAGCAACGTGCAACAGGTGGAAATTACCCCGCAATTACACAAGAAGAATTGGGGAATATCGTACTTCCATATGTTGAAAGGTCGCAACAAACCGAAATCGCCACCCACATCACGCAAATTCGCACCCAAGCCAAGCAATTGCAGCTTGATGCCGCCAATCTACTCGCCACTGCTAAAGCCGATATTGAGCGCATGATTTTGGGTGAAAGTCATTGAAGTGTGCTTTTGTTGTAACAGCCTATAACGGTACGGTAACGGTTACAGTCTGTTACGGTTACTGTTACGGACGCAAACAGTTATTAACTTAATATCAACCCCGTACCGACGGTAACGGTTACCGTTCCGCTAATTGTAAAAAAATGAGAGCCTTAAATGTTTAATGCTAATGAAGCAATAGAATTTTTTTCACATAGAAAATTTGGATTTTCAGTTTTAACATGCTCATTAGTTGCAAGTTTTGATAAAGACAAAAATAGCGTGGCTAATAAAAACCTAGCTGAATTGAAAGAGTATATAAATAAGCTAAGGGCAATGCCCGTAAGTGAGCTTGAGCAACTTTATGATAATGCTAAAGCACATGATGCAAAGCAGGCAGAGCAAAGAGCCATTAACGAAGAAAAAGCTCAGCCCTATAACCAACCTAGTGCGAATGCAGATTTTGTGCATTGGAGTAAAGCCGCACACTGGACGCTAGACGAAGCCATTGCGTTATCATTTGGTAAAGAGCCTGAGCAAGTGAATTGGAAAAAAATAGAACCACTCAAAGATAAATCAGTATTTGCAAAAGCATACGCAAGGCGTAGGGATGTAGCCATACGTGCTACGCGCTGGAAAAAATTTGGCGATACTATTCCGCCAGTTATTTTTATAAGTTGGGCTAAAGAAGTGAAAATTGAATTGCCTAGTGAGCTAATAAGCGAGTTGGCAAATATTGGATGCGTGGCAACAAATTGGCGTGAGCAATATCAAAAGTTAAAGCTAGCGTTTGACGCAGTTGAAAATAAAGCGCCCAATAATACCCAAAAAACTGAGAATCTCTTAAAAGCCATTGCTTGCATTGCGTTTGATGCTTATGGGTATGACCAAAATTCTGCAAAATCCACCGCCCCTAAAGACATTTCTGATGCACTAAAAAGACACGGTATTTCGTTAGACCCTAAAACAATTAAAAGCTGGCTTAAAGATGGTGTTGAGCTTTTGCCCCGCAAACCCGCATAAATGCTAGGCCAAACGGAAATCTCTATTTAGCAAACGGAAATCTACGTACAAATAAAAAAATGATGTATTAAATATGAGCCCATGCAAGGCAATACCGCCTTGTGCAATCCAACTTAAGGACATGCAATCATGGAAAATACATTTAATACACAAACATTAGTAAGCCCTCAGTTTTACCGACTACCTCAATTAAAAGCACGTTTAGGCGTTTCAGGCTCAAGTATTTGGGCATGGGTTAAAAAAGGCACGTTTCCTGCCCCGATTAAATTAGCTCAAAATACTACCGCATGGCATATATCAGATATTGAAGCGTGGGAAAAATCACGCATTCAAGCAAGCCAACAAAATCAGGGGGTTAGCTATGTATAAACCTTTAATAATAACGCGCTACAGCCGATTATCTTTATGGGGTTAATACGATGACCTCAATAGATTATGATTCGCAATCTGTAATTTTAAGATGTGCAGCAAATATCAAGCCTGAGGCATATCAATGGATATGGCAGGGCTGGCTAGCAAAAGGTAAATTTCATATTTTGGCTGGTGCAGCGGGTACTGGCAAAACCACTATAGCAATGTCACTAGCGGCTACTATATCTGTAGGCGGCAAGTTTGCTGATGAAAGCGCATGTGCAAAAGGTAGTATTTTGATATGGAGTGCGGAAGATAGTGCAAAAGATACGTTAGTGCCTAGGTTAATTGCCGCTGGGGCTGATTTAACTAAAATTCATTTTATTGAGAGTTGCGCAAATAAATATAAAACCCGAGGTTTTGACCCCGCTATTGACATGCCTATGTTGATAGATAAGGCTATAAGAATTGATGACTTATCTTTGCTAGTTATTGACCCTATTGTAAATGCTGTAGCTGGTGATAGTCACAAAAATGGAGAAGTAAGACGCGGCTTGCAACCAGTAGTAGATTTTGCTGAAAAAACCAATTGCGCTGTGCTAGGTATTACGCATTTTAGCAAAGGCGGGCAAGGTAAAGATTTACTAGAGCGCGTAACAGGCAGCATTGCTTTTGCTGCACTTGCCCGTATTGTTTTAGTAACAGCAAAAATCAATCAATCTGATACAGTCAAACGTATTTTTTGCCGCGCAAAAAGTAACATTAGCATTGACAGTGGCGGGTTTGAGTATGAATTAGAGCAAAAAATTATAAACAGTGATATAGAAACAAGTTTTACATCTTGGGGGTATCCATTGGAAGGGTATGCGGACAAACTATTTTCAGAAGCTGATAATGATGAAAATGGTGAGCATTCTAAAAGTGCCGTAGATAACGCAAAAGATTTTTTGATTCAATTGTTACAAAATGGTGAGTTAGCTCAAGCTCAAATTCAAGAGGATGCAAATGGAGCAGGAATATCTTATGCAAGCATAAAAAGAGCTAAAACTAGCTTAAAGCTAATAGCAAGCAAAAGTAAATTAGATTCACGCTGGTATTGGAAACTACCTAATCACCTACTTAAAAATGATTAAAGAAGCTCAAGGCGTTCAATCAAATAGTTTGAGCGTCTTGAGCTTCTTATGGTTTTTGATAGTTGTTAAATATTATTATCGCTATTTAAATGGGGGCATAATTGGGGGCATGATATTTTTTAAATATTACTAGATTGGCTTATTTGTTGGTTTACAACAAATTGTTTGATTGACGCCAGCACCAAATAAAAAATGCCACCTTTGGGTGGCTTTTTTATTTGTATAGTTGACTGGTTGATTAGAACCCGCTTGGGTTCGACTAAGCAAGCACTGCTTGCTTGGACGCGTAGCCTGCGAAGCTGACACAATCCCGTATTTCATCTTTACGCTGGGGTTGAACTACAGCGTGTATTGCTGTGAGCATAGAGTGCTTGTTAGTTTTTTTGTGGCACCTGTTTTTTCTTACTGCCAGCCAAGCTAGCTTCATACTTAGCGTAGTCTTTGGTTACAGTGGAAATGCTAGGGTGTTTTATAAAACAGGGCGTTAATATATAGTTAGCAATATAGATTAGCGAAATTTTTGAAAAAATTTCCAAACCCTGCCAGGGGCAACATCGCCACGAATATCATGCCCATAGCCACTGGTTTGGCACCAAACTACAGGCGTACCTTGGCAGCCTTGATATTTCACACAGCCATTTTCTACTTCAATAGTCTCTTGCGAGCAACCATTGCTTGCAATGGCTTTATCACGCGCTGCTACGCCTTGCGAGATATGAATCGCTTTATCATCGGTGTCGTGCAAAAACCAAGCGGCCACTTTGCCTTTGCACACGTCACCGCGTGGCCCGCCCGCAATAGATGCACTTGCACGCAACACATCGCCACGCTCGCACGCCAGCAAGTTAGTAAAATAACCGCCCATGCTAAAACCATAGCTAAAAATGCGGTTTTTATCTACGCAATATTGTGTAGAAATAGTCTCAAGCATGTCATCAAAGAATAACAAATCATTTTCTGTAGTTTTTTGATTCCATTGATTATTTAAGCCATCTGCGCCAATAATCAGCGCGTTACCTTTTGCATTGTGTTCAATGCCCATGCCGCCACTTAGCCCGTTGCCACCATAGCCGTGAAAAAGAAAAATAAGCGGGTAAGCACGGTCAGGATTATAGCTAGCGGGTACGCGCAAATGATAAGTGCGTGTTTGGTTTTGAATAGTAGCTTGCATAGGCTTAAAGTTATTTGAGCCTATGTGTTTGAGACCGCAACCAGCACTGTAAGCGTTTGCTGGATTAGCAGAGATGATTTCAGGCGCGTTGTGCGTGGCGCAACCGCCTAGCAATAGGACAATGAGTGTACAGAAACGGGTGAAAAAGACTTTAGACACGATTAAGAAGTCCCGTTTGAGTTAGTGGCACGCCGCATTCCGCTTGAGTGATGTGTTTCACATACTATGTCTGAGACTTGTTAGCAAAATGTTGAGCAGTGTCGCAGACGAGTGGTTGAAATACACTTTTCACTTCATCGTATAGGTGACTAATATTAGAAGCCTTGATTTGTACGTCTGTCAATTGATTGACAAGACCAGACATAAGTTGAAAGTCTGCAAAGCTTCTATCAATGACTTGCTTAACGAGAGCATGATATGAGATTGTATTATCAAACTCATTTACGGTGGGCAGGCTAAAAGCTGCCCAAATGTTAGTAGTGGCACTGTAGTACCAAAGTGCAATATATGTAACTACAAGTTCATTTCTCAATATATCATCGTTAGAGTTGGTTGTAGGGAGTTGGAGATTTTGCAACAAGGTAGTGAATTGTAGGGTGGCGGAACTCAAGGCTTGAGTAGCTTGAGAGGAGTCATTATCTTTAGGGGTTGTTACATATTTGGTCAATCTATCAAGTGTTTTTCCATTGATAGATTGAAGAGTTTGAACCTGCGAATTAATGGCAGCTAGAGTAGTTTCTACCCGAGCTTCGGTATTTTTAGTTTGAGTGTAGAAATAGACAGCTTGAGCGAGGGCAATGACTGCTAGGATTATTGATGCGATTGCTGTGGCTAAGTTAATTGTATCGGTAGTCATGTACACTCCTTTGTTATGGATGCAAAACAGTTACTAAATGGACATTTGCATCCATATTGGTAATATTGTTATTATTTTAAATCTCATACTGAATGTTTGCTTAACTTTCATTCAAACAGTAGAAATTGCTGGTATATTTTATATATACAATTTAATTATAAAGATTAGACTCTGTCCGAGATATTTTTATACCTCTGTAAGCCTCATGGATACTGGCTTGCAGAGGTGGTAAAATGATTTGTTGTGAATTTAAGCCGTTCCACCCACTGTTAAGCCATCAATTTTCAACGTTGGTTGCCCCACGCCCACTGGCACGCTTTGGCCTTCTTTGCCGCAAGTACCCACGCCAGAATCGAGCGCCATATCGTTGCCTATCATGCTCACGCGTTTCAGCACTTCTGGGCCGTTGCCAATCAGCGTGGCGCCTTTTACAGGGTAAGTAATTTGGCCGTCTTCAATCATATAGGCTTCAGCCGCGCTAAACACAAATTTGCCGCTGGTAATATCTACTTGCCCGCCACCAAAGTTGGCCGCGTATAAACCTTTTTTGACTGATTTAATAATTTCTTCAGGTGGTGTGGTGCCGTTAAGCATATAGGTGTTGGTCATGCGCGGCATGGGGATATGCGCGTAGCTTTCGCGCCGTGCGTTACCTGTAATGGGCATATTCATCAGGCGCGCGTTGAGGGTGTCTTGAATATAGCCGCGTAAAATGCCATCTTCAATCAGCACGGTTTTATTGGTGGGGTTGCCTTCGTCATCCATGCTGAGTGAGCCACGGCGGTCGGCAATCGTGCCATCATCCACAATGGTGATGCCTTTGGCCGCTACTTGCTGGCCTATCATGTTGCTAAAGGCTGAGCTGCCTTTGCGGTTAAAGTCACCTTCTAGCCCGTGGCCAATGGCTTCATGTAGCAAAATGCCAGGCCAGCCAGCACCAAGTACAACCGTCATGCTACCAGCGGGGGCGGGGCACGCATCGAGGTTAACAATTGCTTGATGCACAGCTTTTTTAGCATAGTCGTGCAGCACTTCATCTGTAAAATAACTGTAATCAAAACGCCCACCACCGCCTGCCGAGCCTTGTTCACGGCGTCCGTTGTTTTCAGCAATCACGTTAATGCCCACGCGCACCAATGGGCGAACATCAGCAGCCATGACGCCATCATGTCGTGCCACCATCACCACTTCATACTCGCCCGCGATTGAGGCGGTGACTTGGCTAATGCGTGGGTCTAGCTTGCGGGCGTATTGCTCTAAGCGTTCTAGCAGTTTCACTTTGGCATCGGCAGAAAGTGATGCGATGGGGTCATTGGGTAAATAGAGTGGGGCATGTTGTCTGGTGACGACTGATTTTGCGGTTTGCTCACCACCTAAGCTGGCAATGGCTTTAGTCGCTTTAGCAGCCTCTTGCATAAGAAATACGAGATAAATCACAAAATGCGGCAGCAGTGCTCATCCACTTTGAAGCACTCAATTTGCTGACTATATATATTCCAAAACTTAGCATCAAACCAAGGTTGCGTATTTTGTTTGGTGTTTTTGGTGCGCTATTTGCCCATGTGGTTGAAATTTGGGTATTTGCTTTTGGCTACTATTACATGATTCACCACAATGAGTTTGGCAGCTTACAAGGGCATTTTGATAACAGCTTAATGGATTGCGTTTACTTTTCGATTGTTAGTTACACCTCATTAGGCTATGGAGACATTGTAGCTAAGGGCGACATTCGATTTTTAGCAGGCTTTGAAGCGTTAACTGGCTTGGTGCTGATTACTTGGACAGCTTCATTTATGTTTATTGAGATGCAAAAGCTTTGGAAAGATAAATAAACTAATATCATCGGCCACTTAAATTGTTAAGTGGCCGTTTAAAATGAGCGTTAGTTTTTGTTTTGCCGATCTTCTATCATCTTGGCTGCCCAATCTTTACCACCCAAACCAAAGGCAATCGCCAGTGCTAAGAATACAGCACCAAACATAATAATAAACAGCGCAGTGACCAATTGAGAGCCAATATCAAGCTGCTCAAGTGCTACAAAAACGGCAAAAATCTGAATCAAATATTCGGCCGATGTGCTCACCTGTAAGGCGCCAGCAAATTTAATGCTATGTAGCCATGCAAACATCAAGCGATTTATAAAGCGGCCAAGTAGCGTACCAAATATCAGCACTACAATCGCTACAATCACTTTGGGCAAGTAATTCGCCAATTGTTTGAGCATGTCGGCCACTTCTGTGAGACCTAGTGCGTTTGCACCAGTAATCACAAACAGCAAAATCACCAGCCAAAAAATAATCTTGCTGATAATGCCACTTAAACTCACATCATATTCATCGCTTTGCAGGTAAGATTCAAGCCCAGATTTATCTGAAAACTGGTCAAACTTTACCCACTTTAAAAAGCGTTTAATGGCTATTTGCGATATTTTGGCGACAATCCAACCAAAAAATAAAATGATGATGACAGCCAATAGCTTAGGAAAAAATGCGGCAACTTCACGCCAAAAATCATTCATTGAAGCTAAAAAAATGTTAAGTTGATCTTGCATAAATCACTCCTGAAATAGTTATGCCCCTGAAAAAGCTTTTGACGCAGATTGACGGCTGAATTGCCTGTTTTATATGTTTTTTTCAATCGCAACTGAGCGTGTAACTCAATTATAGAGCGTTGATTGTCGCTCAATTGGCATGATGCCGCAATCATTTTTTTATGTTTTAAGTGTCTAATAATGTGTGCATGAATGCACAAACACGCAATCTGATTGCTGTTAAAATGGAAGCTATTCGACTTTATAAAGACTCACGTGCAAGTCACTTTTCCCAACAGTTTATATCAACTCCATCAACAAGCTGCAAATCACCATTTAAACCTTTGGGGTTAAATTGCGTTGGGCTACCAGGCCAATGTAGCTGTGCGTTGACTGAGCCTTCGCCACCTTTAATGGTTTCTGGGTAACCGACACCATTCAGTGTTTTACCTAAGTTTTTAATATCCCAACTAATATTTAAAAAAGTGTTGGGATTGTTCGCCCAGTTGTTCCATTGCCCGTTGGCAGTCAATACACTATCAGGAGTTGATAGTTTAAGTTTTTCAATATTCCAATTATCGCCTTGTGGAAAAGCAGTGAGCTCTAGCGCGCCTAATGACTTTTTATTGACGGTAAAACTATTGGCAATAATATCAAGCGCTGGATAATCTTGCGTTTCTTTTTTAATGATATTTTGGCTATCACTATTTGCCTGTTTTACACGGTTAGGTGTCGCTTCTGGCACGATTAAATGGCTTAAACGCGCCACCAGCTTGCCATTACCTTGGCTCACCCATTGTAAATCACCCGCCAATTCACGACTTTTAATCGTGGCGCTTAGGCCGTCTTTATTCGTATTGTGGCTAAGTGTTAGGTCATTAATGCGTTTATCAAAAATATCGAGCGTTTTAACATCAACAACCATTTTACTGATAGGTATGGTTGATGTTTTGCTTGTTTTTGCTTCACCAATCAACTCTTGCATCACTTTGCGCCATGCATCCGCATCTAGATAATCTAAATTTCCAGTTATTTGCAAGCCTTTAACGTTGTGATCAAGTCGGTTGATAATCGGCGCGGCACTGTTGCCTGCGTTGAGTTGAATATTGCCGCGATCAAAAGCCAGTTGACCTTGCTCACCTGACATCATCAAATTAGTTGCGAGTTTATTGCCTAAGGTGATAGCTAAGGTGTTGCTATTAGGGGTTGATTTTTTATCAACAATTAAGCTAAGTTTTTCATTAGTAGCTTTATTAAACGGCGCAGGCAAATTGGAGCTGATGCCAAATAAATCTGATTGAATATTGACGCTTACATTGGGCTTTTGAATCACAATGTCTCCCGTCCAGTCGGTGCTACCTGTGAAGTATTTGCCTGCTTTAGTGAGTGTCGGCATATCTGAAGCAACACCTGCTAAAGCTTGCTTAATGGCAACATCGTTTATTTTGCCTTTGGCAGTGACGCGCACCGATTTATCTTTATTCGTGTTAATAGTTAAGGCAACAGGCGCGCCAAAGGCGTTGGCATAGAGGTTTTGTGCATTAAAGCTGCTTTCGGTAAAGTTAAGCAAGCCGTTAACGCTTGTAAGCGTGGGGATAGCTTCAGAGGCCATGCTACCGTTGCTGATTTGGTACGCGCCTTTATATTGCGAAGCTTCAACATCATGCAATGGAATTTTTACATTGAGCAAAAGCTTGCCTTGACCACTGGTTTTTAAATCCTCAGTAAAGCCCTGCGTCACACTTACTACAGGGCTTTTATTTACAAAAGCAATACCATCTTCAACCCGCCCATGTACTTCACCATCGATTACTAAAATTGGGGAGTCTGCATCTAACTGAGCAATGGTGGTTTTGCATTTAATAAGTTTGTTGCCTAATATTTGCCCCGCATTGGCGTTGAGTTCCATCCGTTTACCTTCAAATAGTAAATCTAAGCCGATACCTTCTATCACAGGCCAGTCTTTACCATACTCCAATAAGCCATTGCTCACTTTTGCGGTCACTCTAAAAAGCCCAAGTTTAGGGTCCAGCTGATTGGCTTTATTCACAAACGGAAAATCTGCCAGCCTTCCTTTTATCGTGAGTTGAATATCATCAGCACGACCGCTTAAAATTGAGGTGTCTAGCCAGTGCGTGGTTGTTTCGCCCAAAATAATCGGGTAATAAAATGGCGCGTACTTGGCATTACCATTGCCGAATTTTCCAGATAAATCTAGCATGCCACCTTTAATGCCATCCATTAAATAGCTAGCATTGATTGCACCAGATAAATGCGCATTCGTAATCGCTAAGTTCTTGAGTTGTACTTTGTTAGCTTTTTCGTTGAGTTGCCAAGTAATATCGCCATCTAGATTGTCGGCGGGGATAGGCCAGCGCAGAATGCCTTTGAAGTCGAGTAGTGCTTTTGTACTGTGAAGGGTAATACTGCCTAACGCTTGATTAGCATTGATTGAGCCAGTCAAATTACTAAAACCAGGTGTTTTTTCATGTGCTGAGATAGACAAACCATTAAAATTGCTAGTAACTTTATAGCTATCTGTGGCTGTATTGCTACCATACCAACTAAAGTTAAGCTTTTCTAATTTGCCTTTAGGTGCAAGTAGTGAAAACTTTTGCATGGGTTCAGCAGGTATGGGCAATTGCAACAGATAAGGCTGAATTAACGCTAAATCCAATTGGTTTAATTTAAAGTTAAGACTGCGCTTGCCAGCAGATGTTTCGCTAAAATTGCCATTGACCCCATCAATCATTAAACCGTTGCTGGCTTGTATTGCAAGGTTTTCTATGCTTAACTTTTGTGAGTTTTTAGTGCCTAACCAGTTGAGCTTACCTGCAAGTTTAGTGAGTTCCACAGGTTCTGATTTGCTTCTAAGTTTTACTTTAATTCGCTCTAAAGCAATCGTGCTGTTTAACGCTTGTATTTGATGGTCGGCAAATTGCAAATGTACATCTGCACTTCCATTGCCCTCTTGTAAGTCCATAGGATGGGTAAGAGCGGGGTAGTCGAGCCAAGGCTTAAAGGCGGCAATATCAGCATCTTTCAAATGTGCTTGCGCCTCACCTCGCCATTGTGCAATGTTGCTGACATCATTGCCATATACATTTGCATCAACTTTTACTGGATAACGAGTACCAACGCTGGGTTGAGCACTTATGCTAATACGATGATTTTTGAGCAAACTTGCCCAAGGTGGGCTGTGTACTTGCAAATTTAGGTGATTAAGGCTGATAGGCGGCGCGTTGCGCAACTCATCTATCCAAACCAATTTGGCATCTTGAACTTCAAAGTGGGTTTGGCGCAATAACCAGTTAGGTAAATCTGGTTTTGATTGTCCTTCTGTGTTTATTCCCGCAATGAAAATTTTGCCTTGTGCATCGCGACGAATAGTGAGTTCAGGTGCTCGGATTGTGAAATCAGCCAAATGCGGTTCAAGTTTAGGAATGCTCAACCATGAAAAAGTGACATCTGTATTATTGAGTTGTAAGGCTGGGCGATTTTCAGAGTCGTAAATTTTAATGTCAGCGACAGATAAATGTGGGTTAAAGCCATGCCAGTCGGCCTTAATGTGACCGATTTCTACTTTTTGCTTTGTGGCTGAACTGGCAAGTTGACCAATTTTACTTTTGTAATCATCAATATTTGGAAACACATAAAAATGAATGGCGACTGCAACAATGAGCACAATCACTACGCAGGCAATAATCAGCCATTTGGCAATACGATAAACAAGTGACAGAGATTTTTTAACCATGCGTGCGTTGCGAGCTTAGCTGTAAATGTGGTGCTTAAAATTAGGGGGTGAGTGCAAATACAGCATTTTACTGCATTATTGACTGCGCATTTGCATTTGCTTACATTAGAATAGCGAGTTTGCGACGATTTCGTTGACTTTTAACTTCAAATTACGGTTTTCACTTGATTCAATTTAAACAACTCACGCTGACGCGTGGCAGCAAAATACTCATTGAAGGTGCATCTTTGCAGCTTCATCCAGGCCACAAAGTGGGTTTAACTGGCGCGAATGGTGCCGGTAAATCATCGCTCTTTGCCATGTTTCGTGGCGAACTGCACCCAGAAAAGGGCGATTTTGAAATGCCAAGCAGTTGGGTAGTGGCACATGTGGCGCAAGAAACCCCGGCGCTTGCCATGCCAGCCATTGAATTTGTGTTGGATGGCGATGTGGAGTTGCTCAATGTGTGCAATGTGGTTGACAATCGCATCTAAAAAATCACGGTCATAAAGGCGAACTGATAGGAGAGCTACATCATCGGCTTACCGATATTGACGGCTACGGCGCCAAAGCGCGTGCGGCGGAGTTGCTCAGTGGTTTGGGTTTTAGCCAAGCAAATTTACAACAAGCCGTTTCAACTTTCTCTGGCGGTTGGCGTGTGCGGCTAAATCTGGCGCGTGCGCTGATGTGCCGCTCAGATTTATTGCTACTCGATGAGCCGACCAATCACTTAGACTTAGATGCGGTGATTTGGTTAGAAGGCTGGCTACAAAGTTATCGTGGCACATTATTACTCATTTCACATGACCGTGATTTTTTAGATGCGATTGTCAACCACATTGCACACATTGAGCAACAAACCCTTACTTTGTATAAAGGGGGATATTCAGATTTTGAGCGCCAACGTGCTGAAAAACTCGCTTTGCAACAAGCTATGTTTGAAAAGCAGCAACGCAAGGTGGCGCATTTGCATAGCTATATAGACCGCTTTCGGGTGCAAGCCACTAAAGCGCGCCAAGCCCAAAGCCGCATTAAAGCCTTAGAACGTATGGAGATGATTTCTGCCGCGCATGTGGACTCGCAATTTAGTTTTGAGTTTCGCACGCCCATCGCCGCACCAGACCCATTGCTGGTACTCGATAATATGAGCGTTGGCTATGGCGATAGACCGCTCATTAGCAATATAGAGCTTGCGATTCGGCCAAATGAGCGTATCGGTTTGCTGGGTAAAAATGGTGCGGGTAAAACTACGCTCATTAAGTTATTGGCGCATGAATTAGAACCACTTAGCGGTAAACGCGTGGAAGGCAAAGATTTAAATATCGGCTACTTTGCCCAGCACCAGCTAGAGCAATTGCGCCCCTATGAATCGCCCCTGCAACACATGATGAAGCTTGACCCTTTAACGCGTGAGCAAGAGCACCTGAATTATTTGGGTGGCTTTGATTTTAAGGGTGATATGGCGCGTAGCCCCTGTGAAAATTTTTCAGGTGGAGAAAAATCGCGTTTAGCGCTGGCATTGCTCATTTGGACACGGCCGAATTTGCTATTACTTGATGAGCCCACCAACCATTTAGACCTTGAAATGCGCCATGCGCTGACGCTCGCTTTGCAAGATTTTGAAGGCGGCGTGATTTTGGTTTCGCATGATCGCGCTTTATTACGCGCCACTTGCGATGAATTTATATTAGTCGCCGATGGAAAAGCGCAACCGTTTGATAGCGATTTAGAAGGTTATAGTGCGTGGCTTAATGAGCAACGTTTAAAAGAAAAACAAGCCAACGCAGCTGTAACAGAGGAAAAACCAAGCAATAATAATCGTGCGGCCAATAAAGCTGAGCGCCAAGCGCGCATTGCGGAACGCCGCCCATTATTAAAAGAAATTGAGCAAATTGAGCGAAATATGGCGCAATGGCAAACTGAGAAAACAGCTTGCGATAATCGCTTAAATGACGCTGCGCTTTATACGCAAACCGATAAAACTGAATTACAAAACTTGCTAAAACAACAGGCTGAGCTAGCCACCAAATTAGAAAGTGCAGAAGAGCGCTGGCTAGTACTACATGAACAATTAGAGGCGATGCCCGCCATAGATTGAATGATAAAAAGAGGAAAATCTCATGCAAATGCAATATTCAAAACACCTTAAAATCATGCACGCTTTGTGTTTGGCTGAAACCTCAGCCGATAAGCCCAGCACTGATTTAGACCAATACGATGCCTTAGCCGCTGCCGAGTTTTTAAGCTGTTATGTGACTTTTAAAGCCATTGGCTTGGCTGAGCGCTCGCCTTCGGCGGAGCGTAGTGAAAACTTTGAAATGCTAAGCGTGTATCAAACCTATGCTTTATTGACCTATGCATTTTTTACTACACCTTTGGCAGCTGAAGACATTAAACCGAACTTTCAAACTGCGCAAGTGACCATTGCCAAAACTTTATTTGCAGGCTTGCCAGATGCTGAACTTGTAGAAACCATAGAGTCTGGCTTACATAAATTTCAACTCATCGCGGGGGCTGAAACTGAACACTGGCAAGAATTTAGAGAAAATTTAGACAAACTTACCATCGCCTTTGTGGTGGCAGGCACCGATGACGAAAGCCCACATGAAAAAGAAGAATTATTGCCTATTTTTGCCCAATTATTAAGCCAACTTTGTGAAGCGTTTGAAAACATTTAATTTTGAGTTTTAAACCCGCTAAAAATAGCGCAATTTCGCTCCGAGGATTTTTTATGCCTCTGGAAGCCGCATTATGATTGGCTTGCAGAGGATGTGAAAAGAAGTTTGTGTGATATAGGCTGGAAAATTAAGATATATAATTATGGACATTTTGAAACGTTAAGTATGAAGAAAATATATAAAATTTAGGCAATTATATACTTGACAGACCCAATGTATGTGATACAATAGTCACATATTAGTTTGGAGCGCATGTCATGATTAAGCAATTTAATAGTTTACTTGATTTACTTAAAACATTTTCCGATGAACAGTCTTGCATAGACCACTTCACGGCTATTAAATGGTCAGAAAAAAAACAATGCCCTCATTGTGGCGGTTCTAAGATTTATCATTTTTCTGATAATCGTACTCATAAGTGTGGTGATTGTCGTAAAAAATTCAGCATCCGCGTTGGTACAATATTTGAAGATAGCAAAATTCCATTGCAAAAGTGGTTTATGGCTATTTATCTAACAACATCTCACAAAAAAGGCATTTCTAGCATTCAATTGTCTAAAGACATTGATGTTACTCAAAAAACAGCATGGTTTATGCTTCACCGTTTGCGTCATGCAAGTCAAACAACCTCATTCAATGCCCCAATTGGAGGGAATAATAAGATTGTTGAAATTGATGAAACATACGTTGGAGGCAAAGAGAAAAATAAGCACAATAATAAACGAACCAGTGGTACTCAAGGGCGTTCAACAAAATCCAAAACTGCTGTATTAGGTATGCTTGAAAGAGGTGGTGAGTTAAGGGCAGTTAAAGTGAATAATGGCGCGGCATTTTCTATAATGCCAGTCATTACTAGAAACGTCAGCAATAACACATTAGTGATGACTGATGAAGCTAGAGCATATAACAGTTTGCCAGCAGTTTATAACCATCAATCTGTAAACCACAGCCGTAGAGAATATGTAGTAGGTGATATACATACAAACTCAATAGAGGGTGCTTGGTCGCTATTTAAACGTGGCATCTTAGGCATTCAGCATCATGTTAGTCCAAAGCACTTGAATAGATATTTAAATGAGTTTAGCTTTAGATATAATACACGTAGTCTTAATGAAGGTGAACGTGTAAATACTTTGCTTGCACGTACTAGTGGGCGCATTACATACAAGGAGTTGACCAAATGAGCGATAAAAAAACGTATGAAAAATCACTAGGTATTGATATGCCTTTTGATGAAGCAATTGCACGAATAGCAAAAGTCACTAAAGAAGAGGTTAAGGCTCAAGAAGAAAAAGGTGAAATTATTGAAGAAGGGGAAGCTCAGATTGCCCTTTTCAAAGGTAAGGAAGTTAGGCAAGTATTTCACGAAAATGAATGGTATTTTTCTATTGTAGATGCAATTGAAGCCATTACTGAAACTGATAGACCAAGCAAATATTGGTTTGACTTAAAAACACAACTATCTGAAAAAGAAGGGTTTTCTGAACTTTCCGATAATATCGGAAAGTTGAAAATGCCATCTGCTGATGGGAAGATGCGAGAAACTGAAGCTGTAAATGTAGAAACTCTATTTAGGATAGTTCAGTCTATCCCGTCAGCAAAAGCAGAGCCATTTAAAAAGTGGCTTGCAAAAGTTGGGTATGAGCGCATTCAAGAAATACAAAACCCTGAAATTGGCGTAAAGCGCGCTATTTTACAATGGCAAATTCAAGGACGCTCAGATGATTGGATTGATGCACGCATTCGCTCAATAGTAACTCGCAATGAACTTACTGGTGAGTGGAAAAAAAGAGGTATCAAGGGTGAAGAGTACGGCGCTTTATCAAACGTAATTGCTAGAAAAACATTTGGCGTTGATACTGCTGGGCATAAAAAACTTAAAGGACTTAAAGCTCAAAACTTGCGTGACCATATGACGGATTTAGAGCTTATCTTTACCATGCTAGGAGAAAAATCCACAACACAAATTGCAATGACAACTGATGCTCAAGGTTATAAAGAAAACGCAGAGGCAGCGGCGTCTGGAGGAAAGATTGCAGGAGAAGCAAGGCGCTCACTAGAAGCAAAGCTTGGAAGGTCTGTAGTTAGCAAAGAAAACTTCTTAAAAGGTGGGTCGCGTGAAAATGACCCGCAACTACTTACAGAAAAAACTAAAAAATAATCAACCAAAGCCTTTAATAGGCTTTGGGTCTGACATGTATATAGTTCCCAAAATTTATATTGGTTTTATTGTTCTAGTCATTACATTTTTCATTTTTGTTGGTTCTTTTGATAAGTTTGAATATCAAAATTCTGTTAACGGCTCAGTAATTCGATGCTATCAGGTTGTCTCTAAACATACCTACGGTGGAAATACTACATGCTTGGCATCACTAGATGATGGACACATTGCGGAGTTTTTAAGCTTTCAACAATTACACGCTGGAGAAAAGGTCATTTTCGCTAAGTACAAAAGAAATTGGCTTGGCTCTATAATTTATGAAAAAATTTGAGTAAAGAAACTATTAGTTGAACCCGTATTTATAAATTAAGAAGCGATAATTAAATGCTATTTAAAAGCTGTTTTGGAGGTACATTTAAATAGGCGCGCACCACCCACCAAGCCGCTAGCGGAACTAACACTAATGCGGCTAGTAGCGAAAGGGCAGCAAGGTTTACGTTAAATTGGTAAGGAATATCCAGTACAAATCGGCTTAATATAAAGGTGAGGCTGTTGGCGACCAAGCTTGCCACGATGGCTGCGACCGCACCAATGCAAGCGAACTCTGTGAGCATCGCCAGCGCGGCTTGGCGGCGCGATGCACCCAGCACGCGTAACATGGCAGACTCTTTAATGCGTGCCGCGCGCGTGGCCACTAATGTGGCATACAACACCACTAGCCCTGCGACGATGCAGAATGTAAATACAAAACCCACGGCTAAACTTAACTTTTGCATGATTTGCCGCACTTGGTTCAGCAAGCTGGCCACATCGATTACCGTAAAATTAGGAAACTTTTGCAACATTAAATTGAGCGCGTTTTCTTGTGTCTTTGGTAGATAAAACGCCGTCATATAGCTAGCTTGAAAAGGTTTAAGTACGTTGGGCGGTGTTTGCACAAAAAAGTTGGGTCGCATGGTGTCCCATTCCACTTTTCTAATGCTAGTGACTTTTAAATCAATGCGGCTACCAGCAATATCGTAGGTGACGGTGTCGCCAAGTTTAATGCCGAGAGCACTAGTAAGGTCGTACTCTAATGAAACCAAAGGTGCATCGGCTTCATCTGCGCGCCACCATCGGCCTTCGAGAAGTTTGTTGTCGGCTTGCATTTGCTTGGCAGATGACATATTGGTTTCACGCGCGAGCAAGCGTTTGGCTCGCTCACCCTCAAACATTTCGGGCGTTAAAGGTTGACCGTTTTTGGCTACTAATCGACCTTTTATCATGGGGAATATTTGCGCGTTTTCTACGCCAATTTCGTTAAAAAACCCTTGCAATTTATTGACCTGTTCAGATTGAATGTTAATAATAAATCTATTAGGCGCATCTTTAGGCAGTGACGATTGCCATGATTGCATCAGGTCATTTTTTATCATTAGCAATAGCATCAGCACCATCGCGCCCAAGCTAAAACCGACAATTTGTGCAATGGTGAGCCCCAAGCGCCGCTTCAGGTTTGCCAAGCCTAAACTCAATACGCTATTCGGGGTGTTTTCACTCCATTTGTATAAAAGCATCGCCATACCATAAGCCAATCCGCCCGCTAACAAGCAAATGCTGATGACGCCCACCAAAAACGCGCCAGCAAGCTGCCATGTTTTGGCTAGCCATACAATTAAAGTGCTCATCACTAAGGCAACGGGTAAATAGCGCAGCCAGATTTTGCCGGGTTTTAGCGTAGCTTCGCTACGTAAAATGCGCATGGTCGGCACGTTTTTAATGGCTTGAATGTGCGGCCACATCATGGCAAATAAAATTGAAAAGCTCAACGCCATGCCAGTTAACGCGGGCATGACATTGGGTGCGGGTAAATGTGCGGCAAATAATTTGCCAGCAAAGTGCGCCAAAATTGTTTGCACTAAAAACCCAAGCAAGCAGCCGATAAGTCCGCCAATCAACGCTAGCAAGGCGGTTTGTTGCAGCATCATGCTTTGGATATTAGCCTTGCTTGCACCAAAGCAACGCAATAATGCAGCGGTTTCTAAGCTGCGAGCTACAAACGGACCACTGGAAAGCAGCATGGCGACGATGGATAAAATCACACTCACCATCGCACTTAGGCCAAGAAAAATTTCAGCCTTATCCAGTGCGCTTCTAATTTCTGGGCGCGCATTTTTAACGTCTTGCACACGCTCGCCACGCTGCAATTTTGGTGTAATCGCAACAGAAAATTGTTGCACTTTTTGTGCTTCGCCCGCTACCAGTAATTGATATTTCACA